CACCTGGGTTTACCCTATGCGATCTCGAGATGAAGTGCCAAAAATTGTGAAAGATTTTCAACGCATGGTGTTTACTCAGTTCCAAATGGAAATCCATATCTTCCAGTCGGACAATGCGAAGGAATACTTCCATAGTGATCTCACGGAGTTTTTTGCTTCGAGTGGGTCACTTCAGCGAAGCTCTTATCCCAGGACACCCCAACAAAACGGTGTGGCTGAACGAAAGAACCGCCACCTTCTTGAAGTAGCTCGTGGCTTATTAATTCATATGAATGTGCCAAGACGTTTTTGGATGAATGCAGTATTGTGTGCTACATATATCATCAATCGCATGCCCTCTCGGCTACTAGAGTATAAGACCCCACATCAGCTTTTGTTTCCTACAGATCTGTTGTCCACCATTCCGATGCGTGTTTTTGGGTGTTGTTGCTTTGTCCATAACCTGTCCCCTACTCGAGGTAAGCTTGATCCTCGGGCCATTCCTTGTGTTTTTCTTGGTTACCCTTTATCTCAAAAGGGGTATCGCTGCTATGATCCTACCTCTCGCAAGTACTATGTCTTCATTGATGTCTCCTTCTTTGAGAATCAACATTTTTTCTCGGTTTCTCCTCAGGGGGAGAGTAGGGTTGAGGAGAAACAGGCGACTCAAACTCAACTACCTCCTTTACCCAATCCTCCTCCATTCCAGGTTTTTCATCGTCGCCATAAAAGCCAGTAGAGTTCAAGAGCCGTGGAACTTGACACTATGCAACCAACATCATCGGATTCACCCGAGGTAGATCCGTCTCATTAGCCAGGTACACTTGCTTCTATTGATGTTTCTGTTCCTCTAAAGGTTGATTCACCTATCATCAATGATCTTAATATTCCTATTGCTAAGAGAAAGGGTGTTAGGTCTTGTACCACTAATCATCCTATTTCTAATTGTGTCCTATGATCATGTTTTACCTTCATACCGTGCATTCCTCTCTTCTGTGGACAGTGTCCCCGTCCCTAAGAATGTGGCAGAAGTTTTGTCTAAACCTGAATGGACAGATGCAATGCAGGAAGAAATTGATGCTTTACACAAAAATGGCACTTGGGAGTTGGTAGACCTTCCTGAAGGGAAGGAACCAGTGGGTTGCAAGTGGGTGTTCACAGTGAAGCACAAGGCTGATGAAACTGTTGAAAGGTACAAGGCTAGACTGGTAGCAAGAGGTTTTACACAGGTATATGGAGTG